GCGTGTGGTGAGTGGTGAGTGGTGAGAGGTCTGGGTGGGCTGGAAGCCAGCGCGTCCACATTACTTGCCTCCACTCTCCAGGAGAAACGTCACAGCCCTGCCCTGTGGATAGAGCGTCGTCCTATGGACTGAAGGGTCGCAGGTTCGATTCCAGATCAAGGTTACGTACTTGGGTCTCAGGTTTCGAGAGGCAACCAATCGATGTGCCTCTCTCACATCCATGTTTTTCTCTCTGTCTCTCCTCCTCCCTTCCGCTCTCTCTAAAAATCAATGGGAAAATATCCTCAGGTGAGGATTAACCAAAAAAAAAAAAAAAGAAAGAAAGAAAAGAAAAGAAAAGCCACAGCCCTGACAAGGGATTCCAAAAGAAGTATTCCAGGTGTGACCTCCCAGGCACTCCCCCTTGCATCCAGGGGCCTGGTCCCCCGTCTTCCCGTCCTGGCCCGGGAACATTAGGCCAGCCTCAGATTCCTGCTGCGTGTGCACCTGCAGCTCTGCGGCTGGTGTAGGGGATCAGGTCACCTTCCCCCGGCCCCCAGGTGAGAGCTTGGGTTTCTCCAGGCACAAAGGCCTAGAGGCGCAGGTGAATGAAAAGAACCTTACCGGTTTCTCCCAGGCTCCTGAGCGCAAGGTCAGGAACTGAGCAGGGCAGCCGTGCTGGAACCTGTATTTCAAACTCCACTCAGCACTTCCCCTAAAGTCAAACCCTCAGGCCTTGAGGTTTGTGTTCTGGGCTGCGGTGAGGGAAATTGCTCCTTCCATATTGATACCCTTCAGGCCTAAGTTCTTCATTCAAGGATGTGCTTGAGGTTTTCCCCAGGGCGATGCTCTGAGGGTGAAACAAATACGACTATTTAGTCCAAGTACAGGCAGTTCAGGCTTTCAAAGCCTGGCCTGTAGTTTGTTGACCCTACTGATTTCCAATTTCACTCTCTTTACAACTCCCCCTCTTTACCTGCCCCAAGCATCCATGATTGATTGAGTATTTAATAGAAAAAAGGAATGATTTGACCCAGCGAAAGGGCTCTGGGGCAGGCTGCTCACATCCACATTGGGAAGAAAGCCTTCCTCCTAGTTACTAATTGTCAGCCTTCAGCACGTCGGCAATGGTCAAAGTCTTTCGGAAGACACGTCATTGTTTATTTTGAAAGCTGAACATTCATATTTCCCTTTGGCTAAAAACTGAAATTTGCCACATTTTTTTGTTGTTGTTATTTCTCACCTGAGGATATTTTTTTCATTGATTTTTAGAGAGAGTGGAGGAGAGAGAGAAAGAGAGAGAGAGAGATGAGAGAGACATGTCAATTGGTTGCCTCCTGCAGCCTGGACCAGGCCCAGGACTGGGGATCGAACCTGCAACCTAGGTCCATGCCCTTGCCTAGAAATCAAACCCGCAAGCTTTAGGTGAGAGGGCTGACGATCTAACCACTGAGCAACATCGCCCAGGGCTTTGCCAAATTTTCATGAACTGATTTTTACATGTTATGTAAGATTCTCAGATACCAAATGATAGGCCATCCAAATGATAAAAAGTTGGAAAAGTAATAGAAAAATAGAAAGAAGATTACCTAGAATCTCCTAAATGACAACCAACATTTTGGTGAATTGCCTTTATGCTTTTTACTCAACTGAGATTATGTGTGTGTGTGTGTGTGTGTGTGTGTAAGTATGTGTATTTAAAATTTTGTAACCTGGTCCTGGCCAGTGTGGTTTAGTGCAGTGGTTGGCAAACTCATTAGTCAACAGAGCCAAATATCAACAGTACAACGATTGAAATTTCTTTTGAGAGCCAAATTTTTTAAACTTAAACTATATAGGTAGGTATATTGTTATTAACTTAATTAGGGTACTCCTAAGGCTTAGGAAGAGCCACACTCAAGGGGCCAAAAAGCTGCATGTGGCTCGCGAGCCGCAGTTTGCTGACCATGGGTTTAGTGGATAGAATGTCGGCCTGTGGACTGAAGGGTCTTGGGTTCAATTCCAAACAAGGGCATGTATCTTGGTTACAGGCTCAATCCCTGGCCTTAACTGGGGCATGTGCGGGAGGCAACCAATCAATGTGTCTCTCTCACATCCATGTTTTTCTCTCTCTCTGTCTCTCCCCCTCCCTTGCACTCTCTCTAAAATGGAAAAATATCCTCTGGTGAGTCTTAACAACAACAGCAACCTGTTTTGTAACCTTTTTCAGTTATCGTACAAGCACTTTCTGTTGTCCTAGACTCATCTTTAACAAAGGGCTTTGTTGATGGCAAGGCATTCCATTGACACCCCCATTGGAGCTGCTCTTTCTGACCATGGGTTTGCCAAGCCCACTAGCATCACTACCCCGCACCCCTTCCCTTTTTCTTTAGGGTTCTAGAGGAAGCAGCCAAGAAGAGGGGTTGGGATGCTATGGGAGAGGGACATTCCTTCCCTTTCTCAAGAGGACCGGCAAGTGCCCAAGGCCCTAGGAGGTGATTCTTAGTTTCCATCTGTTCCTTGGCCATTCTGGGATTCCTAGCATGAACAGTTTACAGCCTCATAGTGAGAAGGCAGGTCATTGCAACATATACTATAGTGTGTTGCCAACATCTGAAAGGACTTAAGGGCCAGCTGATTCACCAGGCATTTGTATACTCCAAGGTTGTCAAAACATTAAACAAAAGCATGCTCTTCGTTAGCTTGGGATCTTCAGCAGAAAGCAATGTGGTGAGTGATGTTAATGTCAGATATTTAGCAAATACTGAATTCCTGCTGAATATTAAACTGTCAAAGGGGCTAAGCTATAGAAGTCTACTTCAAAAGTGGTTGGTCGGATCCCAGGAGATAATCACCCCCAGGAACAGCTGAGGCTCCATCAAAGGGAACCAGGAGAGCATTAGAATAATATTACCAGGAGCATTAGAATATTGACCTCATTCGGAAAGGAAGGCATTAGAGAGTTATTTTGTCCTATTTTCTAGTCTTCACAGTAATACCCAAGGCAGTATTGTTGGGGTTTCTGATTTGGGCAATAGGGATGAATAAGTCTTTTGTAAATGCTGGTTGCATTATATATATTAAACCTGAAAAATATTAATACCGCTAAGTAACATTTATTGTATGAAGCACTTACTATGTACCAGGCACTGTGGCAAGCTGTGCATTCTCTTCCACAGTCCCAGGGCCATTACCAATTTTTTACAAGTGAGGAAATTGAAACTTAAGTCACTTGCCCAAGATCACACACCTCATAAGTGACCGAGTGGCTCTTCAAAGTCAGGACTGCCTGCCACCACTAGAGATTTTACCTACGAGGTTCTCTTCCTTCCTGATATGCTCGCTGAAATAGCTACGGTTTTGATTTATCAGAGTGGCAAATAATGGATGAAAAACCTGTCTAAAGTTGTGTGCTAGTATGCTATGGCTTTTCTCAAAAATAGAGCAGAGTCATCCTTAAGAAACACAGTAGCCTTCACCTCCCCAGTGCGGAGGCAGTGACGGTTATCAAAACTCACATCACAGGGACTAGGTTTGCGAGACATTCAGACAGGCCTTCATAGCCACATCAGGTCTAAGGGTACAGAAATGGGGACCTGAAATACAGAGAGAGACAAAAATATTTCATGCTGTTGATAGAAGAGGTGTTCAACCTATAGAGAATTTTTTAAAATATATTTTTATTGATTTCAGAGAGGAATGGAGGAGAGAGAGATAGAAACATTAATCATGAGAATCATTGATCTGCTGCCTCCTGCATGCCCCCTGCTGGGGATCAAGGCCAAAACCCAGGCATGTGCCCTGGTCGGGAAACAAACTGTGACCTCCTGGTTCATAGCTCAGTACTCAACCACTGAGTCACACTGGCCGGGCTGGAGAATTTTTGTAAGAGTTTATTTGAGCCAAACTGACAACAATGGTCAGGAAGCAAGATCTGAAATGCTCCAGAGGATAACAGTTTTGCAGTTTCTTTCATGCATTTAAAATGAAGGAGGGGCCTGGCCGTCACGGCTCAGTGGTTGAGCATTGGCCTATGAACCAGGAGGTCATGGTTAGATTCCCAGTCAGGGCACGTGCCTGGGTTTCAGGCTCAATCCCCTGTTGGGGGTGTGCCGGAGGTAGCCGATCAATGTTTCGCTCTCACACTGATGCTTCTCTCTCTTTTTCCCTCTCCCACCTCGATTTCTCTCTCTCAAAAAAAAAAAAAAAAAAAAAGAAAGAAAGAAAGACAATTACCAGTCCGAAGGTGTACAGGCTTTGTCCAAGTCTTGGAATAGCTGTCCACCTCTGATATCAGCACTTCTCCTCCGAGAGGAGTCTTTGATGTCCGTTGCAGGCGGAGGTGAGTGTCAGAGAGAGGGAGATGTGCATTCCTGGTTAGGTGCCTGATGAGCCTTCCAGGAGGTTGGAGAGTGTCTTTTGAATGAGCAAAATCTCCAGGTGATCTTTAAAGTCTTTGTTTCCTGGGAGCCAGCTGGGAAAGGAAGCAGTTACCAATTGGCATTTTCTTGAAGTGACTTTATCAAATCTTGGCAATAGTGTAAGATGTCTTAAAATTAATTTTAACAATACTAATAGGAGGTAGGAAATTATCTTACATTTACAACATAATGTATAACATACACAGACACAAACAGAGACCTTTTACTCATAAGAAAAACTCACTAGTTTATAAAAGAACAGTTGGATTCAAATTTTGTTTTGGAGACACAATCTGTCCTTGACAAGTCAAGTTCCAAATGACATTTCCCCTTTGATTTTTTTAAAATATATTTTTATTGATTTCAAAAGGAAGGGAGAGGGAGAATGAGATAGAACATCAATAATGAGAGAGAATCATTGATTGGCTGCCTCTTGCATACCCCACACTGGGGATCAAGCCCTCAACCCGGGCATGTGGCCTGACTGGGAATTGAACTGTGACTTCCTGGTTCATAGGTTGATACTCAACCACTGAGCCATGCTGGCCAGGCTTATTTTTTATTTTTATTGTTGAAAGTATCTGTAATACTTTCAACAATAAAAATAAAAAAGTATCTGTAATACTTTCAACAATAAAGATAAAAACAAAAAGGCCTTTTATGCACAATGCCTTCAGGAGATGGATCGCAAAAGACTAGACCAATAGATCAATAACTGTTTGCTTTTTGCATCCACCAAGCTGATCGTTTATAATATCTAACAAATAGGGATACTATTTATGGTATTCTATTTATTGATTACTGGATTTTGAGTGGGCCCAATTTAAAAAATGAAATATAGGTCAACCGAAAGCTACATATTTTGTAAATCTAATTCATGTGAGAGGTTGGTTTAAAGGCTATAATTAATTTATTTAATTAAATGTAAAAGCTTTCTAGCTGATATAACTAATGGAAATAATGTTCTGCTTTACAGAAATCATATTTCATTTTTGTTGGGTCTATATTAGATGTCTGGTGGTCTTTTAATAATTTAAGATCTGTGAGGAAAGACAATGGGATTTTTGTTCCAATGGATATTGTGAATTGGTAATCTTGAAGGAATTATGACTTTGTGTTTTACTATATCCTGTGATAAGAGCTCAGCCAGTTTTCAGATATATCTACTTATATTCAGACATGGATGCAGCTCGGAGTGGGTGGACGTGCATGAAAAACCTGGCAGCATCCATAGTGGGAGGAAGAATATTTTTTTAATTGGGAAAACACCCAGAACAGTTTTTTGGGGTTTTTTGCAAAGGACAAAAAGTCCTCAAAATTATCAAGAAAGAAAATTATTCTTTGCTCTGAAACTTTTTGGTAAAATGCCATCCAGATGATTAGCTACAATAAGGCAGTGGAAGGTATATGATTAAGCACACGCTGATGGTGGTATTTATAGCGCTTCCTTACCTTGGAGGAGAGCTGTGCTCAGGAAACTTGGTTGCAAACCAGCTCTCCTTTCTGGTGCTTGCTGGCGCTCCAGGCTGGACTTCGAGGCTCTGTGGGCTGACTGCGTGACCTTGAGCAAGTCACTTCCTCCCTCAGGGATGTCAACATTTCCTTATGTGTAAAACGATTGGTTAGAAGAACAACTTTAATTAAAAAAAATATTTTTAAGGGCAGATGCAGGCTAGAAGGGGTCATTGGGGGTGAAAGGGGGACATATGTAATACTTTCAACAATAAAGATTAAGAAATATTTTTTTAAACTACCGAAAAACAATATATACTCATCATTCAGCCCTTAGGAAAATTCTGGAGCATTATAGTTGCTCAATATATATGGATTGAATGTATAAACTGCTGTGTGGGGTGTTTTTTTGTGTTTTTTTTTAAAGGAAAAGAGTACAAAGATTTAAATCACCTATAATTTTAACATTTTGTTTTCTGTCCTTTCAGGTTGTTTCCTTGTGGGGGGGGAGGAAGGGGGGCATATAAACAATTTCCCTTCTACTAGTGCACACTCTTTGGAGTCTGCCTCGTCGATAAATAATGCTCTTCATTGAACTATCATTGAAGAATACGATTTCCATGACCTGGTTATCCTCTCCGAGTTGAGTCTGTGTCAAAGCTTTCTCTCTGGTCCCCATATCGCCCATGCACCAGGCCTTCATTCCTGCCTTTCTGAAGATGCCACAACCTGGTGTCCCATAAGCACCTCAAACTCAGCATGTTCCAAACCAAATTTATCCTTCCCGCCAAGTCCCTCACCCACATTTTATCCTGTTTCCCAAACTGTTAACAGCTTCATGCTCTTCTTTTCAGGGTTGGACATTTTGGTGGTTTCCAGTTTTTTTTGGTTTTTGCTTGTGTATACTGTGATGTAGATCATTACTCAGATTCTTGATGATTGACTTAGAAATCACCCTTCAGAAAGAAATGACTCGGCCAGTGAGTATTAGATACAGCTGAAAGAGTTGAATACATATATCCAGGTTGCTTTTAATTTCTGCTCCCATGAACAGTACATTATACTTCTCATTTCACTGCATCCTAGCTACCTGTGAATATTGACTTTTAAAAAAAAAATCAATGTCAATGTAACAGGAAAAACAGAATTTCTTAATGTTTTTTAAGTGAACATTTCTTTGATTGCTGGTGAGGCTGAGCTTTGAACATTCTTATTGTGCTACTTGCATACTCCAGGTCTGAGTTTATAATTGTATGATTTCCTTGGGTGGTTCTTTATTGATTACAAAGTTAATCTTTATGCTATTAATTAGAAGAAGAAAAAATATCTCAAATATTAATTTGAAGCTGCTCAATGTTAAGTAGCGCTTTGGCCTACTGAGGATGTTATATGAATTGAACTTGACAGAATCTAGGACTTGCCTTCTTTCAGCTTTCATGCTTGAGATCTCTACCGTTTTCAATTCCACCATTTCCTCCTTCATTTGTCTGGAAGGCAGGTTTCCAATGTCACCCAGAAGTAGTGCAGAAATTAAGGTTTTCATGATGCTGCTGTCAGGGAGGAGAAACTTTTTCTATAACCTCTTAGGTTTCATTATTCGGGTTGCAAATTAAACTGACAAAGTAAATTAGCGAGAGAGACGACTGATCTTTAAAATTCAGGTCTATGCAAGTTTACAGACAGATGTGACTCAAGGAGGCAGTGAGAATGTGAGGCTTTACATACCATCTTAACAGGGGAAAGGGTTGGGGGAGAAAGACCTTATAGGAAACAAATGACTTTTAGGAAAGTCAAATGGGCCTTTGGGAGAATAGATGGGAGATAACATAGTTTTGAAACAAGGGCTGTTTGGGTGTGGCCAAGCTTCTAGTCTCAGCTGATGAGTCAGTCTTCCCCAGTGGTGACACCTCTGGGCCCTGTCACTGCCATCTACTACAGGGTGGCCCTCAACTAAGGATTTTCCAAGTGGATGGTTAGATTCCGTTACTTCAGTCGACAAATGTTTCTTGGGAACAGTGCCTCTAAGTGCTAGGTACCGTGGTTGGGGTGACTGAGATGAAAACCGTGGTCTTTGTTCTCAGTGGCAGGCAGCTAGAGCTTATGGAGCTGCAGTGTTACCTGGCCTTAGTAATACGGTATAGACAGAAGCTTGGTCTTGCAGACTTAACTTTGGTGATGGACTGTTTTCGAGTGAATACTCGAGGTCTGGCATTTTCCCTTTTGTGACGTTGCCAGTCACAGTGGCTGGCATCACCAAATTGTATTTTTTTAAAATATGTTTTTATTGATTTCAGAGAGGAAGAGCGAGAGATAGAAACACTAATGATAATAGAGAATCATTGATTGGCTGCCTCCTGCACACCCCCTATTGAGGATCGAGCCCACAACCCAGGTATGTACCTTGACTGGGAATTGAACCATGACCTCCTGGTTCATAGGTCAACGCCCAACCACACCGGCCGGGCACCAAATTGTATGTTTAGCAGGTTGTTTTCTAAGTGAGCTTCGGTAATTACCCAGAGCCGACTCCTCACCACTTCAGACTCCTTTTCACATGTCAAGTAGCTAATCCAGGGAGGACACTGCAACGTGTCAGTTATGTTTCATTTATCCAGGAGAGAAAGTGCATGTTCTAGTGCCAGTCCTGAGTTCCTGAACCCGACGGATCTGTTCTCAGCTAAAAAGCAAAGACCTTAAAAAATGGCTTAAAATGAAACAAAATGTAATCTTTGAAAGAAGAAATGATTTGAGGCATAGATACAGAAAAAGACTATAGTTCTGTTTTAAAAGTCTTAGTTAACACTGATTAGGCAATGGGCTTTGGACAAGCTGAGCATTCAGCTTTCAAATGTGCTCAGAGTCTACATTCCATGTCAACATTTTCATAGAAGGATCCAGGCAACTACACAGCCAGGGATAGCACTACTTTTGAGAAGTGAAATCTCACATTAACATGCAATTACACTGCCTTTCCATTTTGCTATTGTAAATGTGAATCATCGTAATTACTCCTACTCATAGCCTTTGTGGGAAATTCATTGGTCCCTCCCTTCCTTTCTCCCTTAAAGATCTGAAGAATATTAATGTAATGGGCACAAGGCACACAGAGATGAAACGACATCAGTTGAGTCAGAATCTCTGGGGGATGGAATAAAAGTTCCCTAGAAGATCCTAGGGTTAAGATTCACTGGACTAGCCCTAACCGGTTTGGCTCAGTGGATAGAGCATCAGCCTGCGGACTGAAGGGTCCCAGGTTCAATTCCGGTCAAGGGCATGTACCTTGGTTGTGGGCACATCCCCAGTAGAAGGTGTGCAGGAGGCAACTGATTGATGTTTCTCTCTCATCGATGTTTCTAACTCTCTATCCCTCTCCCTTCCTCTCTGTAAAAAATATATTAAAAAAAAAAAAAGATTCACTGGACTAATAACAGGGGAGGGGCTGGGTGACATCTCTCTCTGAGACAGAGAGGCGCTCAGAGCTCTCCAAAGACAAGGAGGAGAGACAGTGTCCCTGGAGTGGGATGAAGGAGCTGGGAGGGGAGTGACTCAATACAAAGCTGAGGGCTATCGCAAGTTCAGTCGTGCAGGGACCCTATGGGATGTCTCATACTTGTCTTGTCTTCACCCCAAGAGCAAAGAAAAGCCACAGCAAGATTGGAAGTGGCCAGCGTGTCTGGGGACAAGGTGACGTTGCAGAGGCTACTAGTCCAGTCGGAAGGCGAAGATGGCACTGGGCAGTGGAGGTGGCCATGCAGGGAGTAAAGAGACTCATGGAATATGCAGGAGGTAGCCTGAGGAAGGGGGCCTTGCTGGTGGATTGGATTTGGGGGTGTAAGGAAGAAGAAAGGTAAAGTTCAAGGGTGACTCCTAAGGCTGGTTTGCACAGTTGGTTGGATTGGATTAATATTTCACAACTGGGGAGACCAGGAGACGAGCATGGAGAGGCAATGCGGAGGACAGCTTTAAAAGCCGAGTGTGCTTCTGGATTGGAAACACAAATTGGGAGCTTGTTTCCCTACGTCTCAGTGACGCCGAGAAAGCTGCAAATCCAGCCAGCATTCTTCTCCCTGCAGCTCAAACGCACTGCTGGAACTTCTTTTTGTTTGACTTGGGTTGAGCAAGTCCTGTGATTGATTTTAGTGAAACAAATCACTTGTTTCAGGATGAGCTTAGAAATGGGGGAGAAGAAGAAGAAGGAAGAAAATGCTTGGGATGCTTTCAATCATGATTTACAACCAAATACTTTGTTAAATAAAATCTTGTGTTATGTAAAATGATGACCCCACTGTTGCTTAGAGTTTATCTCAATTTATGTTCTATCACATTTGCACCTGAGACAGCACAAGCAGTCTCCCTAGCAAAAGAAGCTTTTTAGATAAACGGGAAGGTTTTCAAGGGAGAAGAGCCAAGGTAATTAGGAGCTGAAAGAATTGATTTATGAGCCCAGATTAGAAAAGGTAAATGCATTTTGTTTGGCTAACGGCAAATAAAAGGGGAGTGGAGTCAATCAGCAGTAAAAACAAAGGAAACAATTAGGTTTTACAGAGAAATATGAAATAAATGTTCATCCTTGACTGCTGCTCCCTCCTCTAAGCTCTCCTCACCCTTCAATGTTCGGGAAAGTGGAAGGAACAGTTTGTGAAGGGAATCTAGAAGCAGCTGATGTTGAAAGAAATGAGACAAATATTGAAAATACCTAAGGGGGCCGGAACTGTGGTGTTCTTTTCTTTTTGTGGTTAATCCTCACCCAAGGATACTTTTTCCATTGATTTTTAGAGAGAGTGGAAGGGAAGGAGGGAGGAGGAAGTGGAAGAGGAGGGAGGGAGGGAAAGAGAGAGAGATCAACATTGATGTGAGAGAGACACTTGAATTGGTTGCCTCTTGCATGTGCCCTGACCAGGGCCCGGGATTGAACCTGCAACCCTTTGGTGATTGGGCCAGCACTCTAACCACTGAGCACACCAGCCAGGGCAGGGACTGTGGTGTTCTAACCAACTGGTTTGCTGGATAAAGCTGATTATCCCATGGGTAATAGTTGTGTGAAGGCAAAAAGGCTCTAGTATGGGTCCTTCCTCATAAATCTTTTAGGGGAACATTATTTCATTAGTGATTGGCACGCTGACGAACATCACATAAGTTTAATAAAATTGCATTTCAGCCCTGGTTGGTGTGGTTCAGTCGTTAGAGCATCAGGTTTTATTCCCAGTCAAGGGCATGTATCTGGGTTGCAGGTTTGATTCCAGGCCCTAGTCAGGCCTGCAGGAGGCAACTAATCGATGTGTCTCTCTCACATTGACCTTTCTCTCTCTCTCTCTCTCTCTCTGTCTCTCTCCCCCACCTTACCTCCTTTCCACTCTCTCTAAAAATCAATGGAAAACTATCCTCAGGTGAGGAGTAACAACGACAACAACATCGCATTTCATTTGTGAATTTATAATTCGTAGTTTGACGGGATTTGTTTTGTTTGGCTTTTGGTTTCCTAAACGCTTGATGGGTTTTGCCAACCTCTGCATCTCTCCAAGCGATGATTCACTTAATGACCTGCGGCGGCAGGCTGGAAAGCAGGTCACACACACTGGCTGGAAGACCGAAGTGGGCATGATCTGCATGAGGCTGAGGCCAGGAGCAGGCTGAACGTAAGGCCTCCTGCTCTAAATCGTATCTTCTTCCACGTCACCAATGAGAGTGTGCCAGCTGTGTGACCTTGGAGAGTCATTTGACATCTCTGAGCCTCTGTATCCTCCACTGTCAAATAGGAAAGCAATCCCTACCCCTGGGGCTGTAGTGAGGCTTACGTAAGTGAGCTGAGTCTGAGATGCTTAACCCAGAACCGGGTATTTAGTAAACAAGTGCCTCTTTCGAGAGGCAAGTGAGTCTTTTTTTTTTTTTTTTTTTTACTATATTTTATTGATTTTTTACAGAGAGGAAGGGAGAGAGATAGAGAGTTAGAAACATCGATGAGAGAGAAACATCGATCAGCTGCCTCCTGCACATCTCCTACTGGGGATGTGCCCGCAACCCAGGTACATGCCCTTGACCGGAATCGAACCCGGGAACTTTCAGTCCGCAGGCCAACGCTCTATCCACTGAGCCAAACCGGTTTCAGCGGAAAGTGAGTCTTGAGAGGAGCAGTTCTCCATACCCCACCACCACCACCCCTCAGGCAGCAGGGGGGGAGGGCAGGGGATGGGCGTCCACTCTAATTGGGATTACAGACCTGCAGCTCTGGCATGTGGCTCCTTGGATCCTGTGTAAAGAAGGGAACATTTTAGATCTTGAAATAATATTCAGGGATTTGGGGTAACTTTGGGCAACCAAAGGACCCTGGGTGACCAGAAAGACCAGAAGAGGAAGAAAGAGGTCCAAGAGGAGGCGGGGGGGGGGGGGGGGGTCCAGATGGTGCCTGACAGCTGTTCACTAAGACCCAGGGGAGCAGCCGAGGTCCCTGTGGCCAGTGGCTAATGTGCCAGTGGTTGGGAAAAAGGCAGGGTCTGTGTTTCATCCATTTGTCCACACTGGCCCGGGCGATCCTCTCCTGTGCATTACAGTTTCTCTTTATGCCTTCCCGTTGTGAGGGTGAGGAGAGGAAGCAGGAGTGGAGAGGAGAAACAGAACCAGAAGAAACCAAAAAAAAGGCAGCTGGCCGCTCCCACCCTCCCTCTCCTGCTCCTAGTTAATTAGGGAGGTGGGGCATGTGTGATACATCCTTATTCGGAAGCATCCTTATTCCAGTTGTAGCCCCAGGAAGTTGTCTGCTGTAGTTTTAGAAAAACAGGCCTTTGACCATCACATGTTCAGTCTTGTAAGAAAACCACCCACAGTCTGGACTAATTCATATAGTGCATACATGTATTTGTACCACTATCTTTCCCCTGGGCCTCTTCTAGGGAGCTTAGCAATTTTCACCTCCCTTTAACCATTTCTGTACTACCGTTTATTATAGAAGTACACGTGCTACCTGTCATCACAATCTGAATATTTTATTATAATTATTTCTTCATATCCCACCTCCCCACCGAGACGATAAACACCCTGAGGGCAGAACCTTGGATTATTTGTGTATCCTGCCCCCTCCTCACTCTGTGTAATTAATGGATTCCATGTGGTAGGTGGTTTTTGCTGTTGTTGTTTTGGTAACAGTTTTATTAAGAGGTAATTAATAGACAATACAATGCAGCCATTTAAAGAGCATGTTTCAATGGTTTTTAAATATATTCACAGAGTGCGCACCACAGTTGTAAACATTTTTATCATCCCCAAAAGAAACCCTTTCGCTATCACCTGATTCTCCCCAACCTCTCAAGCCCCAAGCAACCACTATTCCACTTCCTGTCACTAGGGATTTGCCACTTAAGGATATTTCATATAAATGGAATCATACAACATGCGATCTTTTGTGACTGGCTTCTTTCACGTAGCTTAATGTTTTCAAGACTCATTCATGTTGAGGTGTGTATCAGAAATTCATTTCTTATGGCCAAATATTCCATTGTATTAATATACCACATTTTGTTCATTCATCAGTTTACGGACATTTGGGTGTTTTTCACTTCTTGCTACTGTGGATAAGGCTGCTCTGAATATTTGTGTAATGTAATGTCTTGATGTACTGTAATGTGTATGCCAAGGAGAATATGAAAGTTGAGGCAGATCTCACAGGGGCTTGTGGACCATACTCAGAAGATGAAACTTTATTCCAGAGTCAGTGAGAAGTATTCAGTTTTAAGCTCAGGAGCCAAGGTCCTATCTATGCTTCATCCCTCTAGTTGCAATGAAGGGTTCGTGTTGAGCGGGTGGGAGCTAAACTGGAGACATAACAATCAGATGGGGATGAGAAGCGGCTGAACTAAGACCAGAGGCAGGGGAAGGGCCAGAGGGGGCAGATGGGAATTCAGGAAAGATGGAGGGGTCACCAGGAGGTCGTGATGAATGAAGGTGGGGTGGGAACCATGCTGAGTCTCCAAGGATTCTGCATGGATCACAGGGTAGTTGGAGATACACTTCACCAACATTGACTCTAATAAAACGGGGTTTTGCCAGGATGAAGACAGTTTTCTAAAGGGGAAAAAAAATGAATCTTCTCCACTTCTCCATTTTGGTGTTTTTTTTTATAGTCTTCCTGTTTTCTTTGGATCAAAGCCATTTTCATTTCAGCAGACCTGCCATTCTTTCGACAGAAGCAGCTCCAGCAGTCCTGTCTATTTATTTAATTTTTATAAGCGTTTCTTTGAGCCAAACCGAGGACAATGTCTGGAAGCAAGAGCTCAAAGGCTGCACTCCAGCAGTTTTAATACTTCAAACTTCAATTTATGGGAAGGCTATTTGCGTCCCTCTGTGCCTTTTAAAGGCGGCGTGTTGGTGCAATTTCCCGGACCCGTCAAGTTTGCCCAAGTGCTTGCAAATGCATGTTGTTCAAGGAGACAAATGACTTATGTCTCACCTGTTGGAACCCTCTTGTGCTTGCAGGCGGCCCTGGCGGGAGGCACCACCATGATCATCGATTTTGCCATTCCTCAGAAAGGCGGCTCCCTCCTCACAGCCTTCGAGACCTGGCGGAGCTGGGCGGACCCCACGGTCTGCTGCGACTACAGCCTGCACGTGGCCGTGACCTGGTGGAGTGACCAGGTGAGCCGCCCGGGGGAAGCTTCTTTTCAGTTCCCTAGTCCTCGCTCTGTGCAAGACCAAGAAACTGGCAATGTCTAAACGCGAGAAACTGGTGGACGGCTGGGGGTCAGAACTGGAGGGAAGATGTGTCATCGCCTGCTCTTTGGCACCTTTTGAAGTTTGATTCCTGTGAAGTATTGTCAATTTCCAAAACTAAAAGTTAAAAAATCACATAGAGATGATAGCGAAAATCCTTCATAATAATTCACAGTCGCCTTTCCTAATATTAAGTTCATGACATGTAATTTTAAAAAGGACTGATCTCCCACCCTGGCTGGTGGTTAGAGCGTCAGCCTGCACAATGAAGGGTCTCAAGGTTCAATCCCCGGTAAAGGGCACTGGGGTGTACCTGGCTTTGCAGGTTTCATCCCCAGCCCAGTCAGGGAGCATGCAGAAGGCAAATAATTGATATCTCTCTCTCTCTCTCTCTCTCTCTCTCTCTCTCTCTCTCTCTCTCTCTCTCTCCCCACCTCTCCCTTCCACTCTCTCTAAAAATTAATGGAAAAAATATCCAACAAAAAAGTACTGGTCTCTCTTTTCCTCAAATTCAACCTTTCCAGACTCCTTAAATAGTATTTTTCCACAGACCAGAACTTTAATTAGAACTGGTTAA